ATATACGTCTATTTGCATTCGTACACACACACACACACACACACACACACACACACACATAATAATAATAATAACAATTATAATTGTTGTCTTAATAAGTCACTGTGGAGACGATAAACGGCGTCATCTTCTCGAGTTATTGTGGTGCACTGGATACCACTATACATTTTATACATACTACTTTATCTCTTGTATTGACCCTGATAGGAGATCTTATTAATGAAGTCCATCTACATAAACACAACACAAACCTTCAGTATATCTCACTGAATATGTCGGACCCGTCAGATTTTTAGTCTTCCGGTCCTACCACCTACTTGGCCAATCACAGTACTGTACTGGGATAGGCTCTCACTACCTCTAGTGTTGATTAGTGACTTAGTTTGTTTTGAATGAATATGACAAGGTGGACGTTGCCATGTAAGATGAGTCACCTCTTAACAAATTTGGAAATATACCTAATGCTATGGGAGTGTAGGCTGGTTAGAGCAGTTAAATCCAGTGTCTGTCTAAAACCTAATCTACTTTGCTAACACTCATCTGCCGTACTGTATGTTGTATTCTTATGTCAACTACAACAATCCAACCCATTATCTGAAATGAATCCCAGCAAACAGAACACAACAGAGAAGCACAGTACGAGAAAGGTGTTGTCTACTCTGACACAGTGTTGTGATTCCAAAAGATTTGTGATATAAATTGTCCTTATAACTGAAGACGTAAGGATGAAAATCACTTATTAACTAACGGTAAAGCGCAAAAAATATCGTCCAAATGATTTTTTCTGGTGTTTAGTGAACGTGTCTGACTGTAAACCATTCCATGTTGGTTTCCAAATCAATAACTTAAATTTCTGTCTGTCTTTCCAGTTTTTACTGTTATTTAATTTTCCTTTGATGATGCTTTTAATTTATAGTGGACTTGGTAAATATCTGGATTGTGTAAGAAAAATTTTATTTACTTTTTCGTTATGTAAGTGCAGGTTTCATGTCACTACATCTGGCAGGTCGGTTGAGAGTGTTGACGGTGAAGGAAATACAATCGTAATGCATGATATCCTGGCATCTCCCCCATCCAGGGCCAAATCACCAAAATTTCACCTTTGGGACACTTCTTGGGTGCATGCGCATATCCAGGTCAAAATACAGCTATCTGTCTTGGTAAATGTAGCCGTGTATAGCGAACAGAATCACAGGCAGTGCTTTATATCTACAGTATATTATACACATTTACACATAACAACGTTTACCTGGGTACGACAGACTCAGTTTCTCTCGATAACTTTGTTATCCTTTCTCTTCTGCGTCCACTTTCCTTATCTACAAACCTGTTCCTCTTATCACATCGTTTCTCTCCCCGCTTCTTGAACCTTTCCATTCCATGCACTCCTCCCCTTCAACCCCTCCCCCGCCTCAGCCACGTTTGCCATCTGGCTGTTGGAATAATTTTAGTCTCAGCTGGCCAGCTCCTGTAATTGGAATATACTTTTTTCTTAGCTTTGATATTCGGATACTTCATTTCCTCGATGGCCACAAGTCATATTATCAATGAAGTCATCAGCCAAGAATGAAAAGATGGAAGTCCCCGGCAAAACTGAGGAGCATCTCTATTAACTCTGGCAAAACTTTATCCTTTATGAATATATAAGTTTGAATAAAAGATGAGGCTCAGTTCTTTTGTCGGCAGGAAGGTCTGGCGTGTAATCACCCTTCGTCAACACTGGTAATTAAGGGCAGCAGTGGCTTAGGGGATACAGAGCTCGCCTCCAGCCTAAAGGTCGCTGGTTCATTTTAGTCATCCTTAGTCCACTACTGGGAGAGTGAAGGTGGGCGAATGGCGCCACGCTGCCTGCCCCTGCGTTCCTTAAGTTTAGTGTTAATTAAGTGGGCTACTTCCGTCAGGCCTCACTGTGTCTCTCACTCCCTTGTTCTCTCCGTGTCTCCCTACACCTTCACTCCCAAAACTAATTACTTCAAGTTTCTGTACACTCACAGGGCTTAGAGCTCCTTCTCCCCCTCCCACTCCTCCCCTTGTCCTACCTCCCCTCCACCATAGTCCTCTTCATCCCTGACGCAGGAAGAAATCAGAGAGACTTGGTACAATAATGCTGAATTTTTAGGCATAAGTAAACCTTTTGTGAGCTGTAACTTTCTTGAAAAGTCACAGATGAAAATAAATACACAAACATTTGTAGTTGAGTATCGCAAGCGCTATTGTCAAATAATGGCGGAGATATAGGAGTTACATCAAAAAAGCAAACAAATTAACAGGCAGAGACCCAATCACCTACCTAGTCCCCCGGCCCATATAAAGAGCGCTCACGAGATGCCAAAATGAATGTACTACTGCAATAAACTTGCATACACAAATAAAACCATCGGTCTCCCTCAGGTATACCAAGGGTTAGCTTCTCATTGTCGCTGGGACTTAGTCAATTAGTATTATCATCTGGACAGAAAAAAGCTCTTACTACCACACATATGTAAACAAAATGTGCAGAAAATTATGAGTTCGTAAGTGTATATGAATCTTGATGATAATTTTGGAAAAGATAATGATAAGTTGTGAAAGATGACAACTGCAAATTAATACAATGTGGTTAAAAAGCAGATTTTGATACCTGTATGAGCTTCTATAGTTAGTTAGGTTAATAAAAGTAATGCTTATATTAAGTTGGTTAATTAATGGTAAAATTATAGTCGTGAAATTTGCCGAAATTATCAACAGTGACTTTGACCTTTGACCCGGCACCCTCCCAAAAACCCTCCAAACATTTTTTATAGTAATGATGATGCTTGATATACTTAAACCAATCCAAGTTTCATAGAACAAATTCCTTGGTTAAAACTGTCCAGGTGTAAAATCTATTATATCAACAATAACGTAACAATTTACACTACAGTATAGTTAACTTTAAATTAATATTGTATGAATGGTGGGTTAGTTATTGTATTTTGCAACCTCCTGTTCGGTCACACCTAGAAATGCACCTTTGCTATTGTGGGAGATGTAAATAAAGGCGGTGAAGCTCCGCCCATTCAGCAAGTCATCCAGGCAACGGACACTTGGGGCATCACGTCCACCTGAGGCCACGTACACAGTATGGCCGCCGCTTTTGTACTAACAGGTCATGGTAGTGGTTCTCACTCTTTAATACTCAACCAAAATGGTTGTGTTAGTGTCTGAAGATTTTAGGTGTAATGAAAAATAAGAGTGTACGTGAGGTGTGATTGGTGATCTTCATGTATAATATATGTGGTTATAATTATGAATTATGTACATCGTGTGTCAGTGATTTTTAAGTGTTCATGTACAGTCTAAGAAACAATTATCTTCCCAAGTTTTGGTAAATACATTACGGAAAAGTTGAACCATCCGACGTACACATCTGTATATCTCAAAACAATGGACACTTATTTGTTGACATTTAGGTTAGAATAAGTAAATATTACCAAATAGAAAATCCAGAAGTGATTCGAGTAATTGTGTTAAGCAAGTTCGTCCCTGCATAAAACCGTATTGGCAGTGCTTTACAAGGTTGTTTCGTAGTAGATCCATCATGGCATCTCTTACAGTGTTTTCTAGTACTTTACACACTATGCTGGTCAGGCTCACTGGTATATAATTACAGGAGGATCTAAATAAACTGCAAGGGTGGTCTGAAAAATGGCAAATGAAATTCAATACCAGCAAGTGCAGCGTACTTAATATTGGAAGAACAAATACTGTCAATGTATACAGCCTTAACAACATCAACCTAGAGAAGTCGACTTGTGAAAGAGACCTAGGGGTACATGTAAGCCCGGACCTACGGCCTAGAAAACAGTGCGTTAATGTTCGAAATAAGGCAAACAGAGTATTGGGTTTTATATCTAGAAGTGTAAGTAATAAGAGTGCAGAGGTCTTATTAAAACTATATCTTGCGCTAGTCAGGCCGCACCTCGATTATGCGGTTCAGTTCTGGTGCCCTTATTATAGAATGAATATAAATTCACTAGAGTCGGTGCAGCGAAGAATGGCGAAAATGATTCCGGGACTTAGAAACCTTCTATATCACGATAGGTTAAAGAAACTAAATTTGCATTCCCTAGAAAGACGAAGAGTGCGGGGAGATATGATAGAAGTATTTAAGTGGGTGAAAGGAATCAATAAAGGGGATATAGATAAAGTTCTTATAATATCCGAGCAGGATAGGACTCGGAGCAACGGATTTAAGTTGGATAAGTTTAGGTTTAGGAGGGAGATAGGAAGGAACTGGTTCACAAATAGGGTGGTGGACGAGTGGAACAAGCTTAGCAACTTTGTAGTAAGTGCTGGAACGCTGGAAAGTTTCAAAAAGAGGCTGGATAGATTTATGGATGATAGAGAGTGGTAGTAACTCTCGACAGGAGCTGCCATGCACAGGCCAACCGGCCTATTGCAGACGCCTTATTTTCTTATGTTCTTAAATATAGGACTCACATAAGCCATTTTCCAGTCATCGGGAACCTCTTTATTAGTTTTTAAACAGTGCAACTTGATGAAGAATGTACGCATAAAACATGACCAGATATTTTAAAATTATGTTTTAGTCTCACGTAGATTGTTAATTGTTTGTCCTTTTGTAAACTAACTTGAATTGTTAGAAAGTCATGGGAGACGCTAACAGTGAGCTATGTAATAATTATTAAACATTTGCTTAACAGCAACAATAATCGCTAACCCTACACTAACTACCTCAGGGACGCTCTATGTGTACATAACCAAACCACTCAAGGGAATTAAACGTCAAAGAAACAGCCTCACGATGCTCACAAACAAGTGATGGTTGATCTCTACGTGAAGCTCTGCATAATAATGCTGACCACTTTGGGTCTCTTATCACACACAGAACATTGACGTGACTATCACCTGAGACAGTCATTTGAGGTCATCATCTCTCTCTTACCCTCCCCCATCATCCCCCACCTTCCCTCAACCTCCTCCACCTTCCCTCAACCACCCCCACCCTCCCCCACCCTTCCTCAACTTTCCCCACCAGGCCTCATCCTCCTTCTCCCTCCACAAACAATGATTTGTAGGTTTTAGTCTTTACTAACGCTGTTAGTCCACGTTCTTGTTTCGCTTTTATCTTTCGTTTTATTTATTTCCTTTCGTCTCTCTCTCTCTCTCTCTCTCTCTCTCTCTCTCTCTCTCTCTCTCTGTCCCATTTTATGACTAGTCACAGAAAAAGCCCAAGGTTTCTTTCTTTCTAAATATCTGTTTATCAAACTATTTATTTATTCTTCTTGTTTTGTCTACGTCCTCCTTTTTCCCTTGATGACACTTCAGTCCGGCATTACTCACTCCTCCCATTACACAAACACACGACCACTGGCCCTGCACCACATCAGACACACAACGCCACACACATGTTAACACAACGCAACATCATCGAGCTATACTGCAACTCAAAAGTCCTCACCACCACACTGTACCGACGATCCACACCAAGGAATATTTAGTTTAGTTAATTTTCTTCGCTTTATGTTGAGACTTGATGTGTAAATGATAGACACCTTGCTTTCAAACGTGTGTGTGTGTGTGTGTGTGTGTGTTTTATTATAGTATTATGTTTGTGTATATTTAATATATATTTTCTCACTTTCTCCGTCGGATTATTTTACTGATCCTCGACAAAGATCCATTTACGCCGCTACAAGTCTTTTTTGGCGTAATACAGTGATCTTACAGCTCTCAGTTTCATGTAATGACACTTTTCCAGCTTAACCTTTGTTCTCGTACTCTCTAACATTTGTCTGAATGTCTCCCAGAATACACCGAGATTCTTCAAAATAATTGCGATTATTATTTACTTGGTATCACCTTGGTGTGAGGAACATGTGGCTGGCTGGGACGGTGTTGATGGAGGCCGTACAGGTGCTGGCGTTGGTGACAACCAACCAAAACTACTGCCCAGGCGAGAACTGGTTCACAAGGACCAGTGACGACCTCTGGCTACCTGCTTTACCAGGTATGGAACAATGCCAGTTACAGAACATTAGCTACCAGGTTTAGAACATTGCCAGTTACGGAACACCTCTGTTACTTTTGTTATTACGGTAAGGATCATCAAGAGTCACCAGCACCACACGTGTTACCGTGAAGTTGTACTACATTACCACCGTGTGTGTGTTCGTCATTTCTTACCATAAGTGTGACCTCACCTAAACTTGTCGAAGATAACCTAACCTAACCCTTTCTAACGTTACCTCATCTTACCTAACCTAACCTACCCAAAGCTTATCTACCCTGACCTTATCTTACCTAGCCCTCTACCTAACATAACTTAACCTAGTCTTACCTAAGATACCCTATCCTTACCTAACTTAAATTTATGTTAATTGATCTAACCTTACTTAATCTGGTGTAATCTTACTTTACGTTACCTTACCTTACTTTGCCTTACCTACAGTAATCTTGATAGAAATAACATACAAGTCAGTTTAAGCTAATAAATGCAATGTCTGGTTACACAGATTGACTAACTTATACGCGAAAATATTCTCTCTTTGTTTATGGAGAAAAATCGAACGAACAAAATAAATACGTGAGCGCAGTGTTATATTTAAGCAATGGTGCGTGTGTGTGTGAAGAAGTTCCTTGTAAAGCATAAATTATTTTTTTATTAGCCTATAAATAAATCAATAAGTTAGACTATTACATATTTTTTATAATATTGTTTTTTGTTGAAGAACCATCCTTTTCATATTACTATAGTACTCAGTTGTTATTTTTTACTAGATATTTCACAAAGATATTGTCGGCAATGATTTTCAGAGATTAATGTGGAAAGTTAACACCAACTCATCATAATAATATCTTGTTGTTTGTAAATGATTTTATCATATTTTTCCTACTAAGCATCGTTGTCATGGAATATTATGCAAGACGTAGTAGAATTCTGTTCGAGATATAATTATTCACTTATCAATATACAGGTAATACACACGTCACTCCCCTTTCCTCTACAGCTCGGGAAACAAGTGCAGACCCAGATCACCGCCCAGTAGTGACTTACGTGCCCTGGGACGTTGTAAGAGAAAACACGACAAATTGGAAGGACACAACGAATAGGAGTTATAGCAATGGGTTGTCCTTACCAATCCTACGCTGTTTACCGGAGAGGAAACGTTGCCAGGCTCACACTCATCTCTACGGCACCCTGAAGAGCACAGTTACCCACAAGGCGCTGTGTGTGAACGTGGACGGGTTATGCAAGGCTTTACTGGTAGTTCATGATGAGGTGTCGTATTGTGACTGCTTCTCACCCTCAGACTACAGCAGACGAAAAAATGATATGGATGGTACATTGAACGTAATCAACATGACGCTCCTGAATGAATGTCCACAGGGGCCTGACAAAAACAACAATGGCATAGATAATACAGAGATCAAGATAATCGTTCATGAGACTGATACAATTACTCCTTCACGTAATAGCTGTTTGCAGATCCCTGAAGACACTGATACATGTAGGAGCCAAATAATCATGAATCAGTGGTGGGAACTGGCTGTGGATGTCCTTGTTTGTGTGATAGTCATAAGTTTTATTGTATCTGTTGTTTTAATTATTTGGAAGAGATTAACAAAAGGTAACAGTCAAAGCTCCCAGTCAGAAAATATTGAATTGGAAAGTGAAGAAACTCTGATGGATTGTCACGAAGTCACTTCCTTTCCCCTCGCTGACAAGACCACGTAAGAGCTGACTGGTGTTGGTGCCACTGAGTAGTTAAGGATGGGAATGTATTAATTGTCCTTTGCTCATTTCTATATATCTTGAAAGTGATGATCTCATTCCCAGTGGAGTTTGTAAAGTAGTCTAATAATACTGTTTGTATCAACGCTTAATATGAATAATGAAAACGTACCCGACCCTCTCAAACTCTCTCTGCTAATAGCTTCTGCTTAATTACTGTGATATAAGTGTATGGCGCTAAAAAATAAAAATAAAATAAAATGCGCAAACAATTTTTTTGGCTCTTTTATAACTTCTTTTCCCCAGTGTAGAAGACCTGGTGGGATGGGAGGGGTTATAGGGGAGTTGGTAGGGTGGGGGAGTGGGAGGGGGTTATAGGGGAGTTGGTAGGGTGGGGGAGTGGGAGGGGGTTATAGGGGAGTTGGTAGGGTGGGGGAGCGGGAGGGAGTTATAGGGGAGTTGGTAGGGTGGGACAGTGGGAGGGAGTTCTTTGGTCGTCACAACACACCGAAGAAGGTGTTGTTGGTTCTCACCTGAAACATATACAAATGTCACAGTTGTCTGGGTGATAGAGGACTAGATGGTGTTGACAGTTAAGTCAAGTCTAAGAAACAAATATGATACAGGGGACTGCACTAAAATCACATAAACATTTGGAAGGTCATCTTACAGGAAGATAGGTCTTGGATGCCTGGGGTCCTAACCTGTCCCGGGACGAAAGATCAACTCATTCTTTATCATAACCATAACTGAAATAACTGATAAACTCGTCCAGACAACAATACAGGGTGTTATAATATTATTGAGATAAAGGCGAATTACAGACAAGAAATATCCATAATTAATGAATATATTACAAGATAAAACTGATTCCTCTTTTAAAATTATCACAATTCCTTTTTATTATTCTTATAGATGCATAAAAATGTCAACATCTACTACACTCTCTTAGTATATTTACAAACATCAAAAACGGTTTCTTACCGTCTACCAAGTATCGACCTTCAGCCGTAATGTCCAGTACAAGTGATCTTTACAGTTGTACACAAGGTAAGACTTACTAACCCCTTCACTCCGGGGACGCCACTTTTAATATATAACTTGAACGCCAGTCGATTTTATTCAGCTCAGAGGTGACCCCGTACACAAGTGCTTAATAGAATATCTCCCCCGAGACCTGTTTCAATTTGCAAAAAAAAAAAATCTTCGCTTCGTCATAAATACCAAATTTCATATATATATATATATATATATATATATATATATATATATATATATATATATATATATATATATATATATATATATATATATATATATATATATATATATATATATATATATATATATATATATATATATATGCTGATAAATCACAAGGAAAGAAGAAAATGAAGTTCCCAAGCGCTTGTGTAATCTCACATCTTCAGGTGAGTACAGACTAGAGAAAGAAATACAAATCAAGGTGTATGTATACAGAGAAGGGTGAGACCAAGTCCACAATGGTCAGGTATTAGGTAATGACCCTATTAATCTTTAACTAGCACACAACGGTTGGTGGTCAGGTCAGATGGTCAGGTGGCCCGGCCTTCTCACCTGGTCACAAATCTTCTTAATTACAAAATTGTCCAGCTTGTACATGCCGTTACTCAAATTCATGTTGAATGCTTCGGTATGTTTAATAAGACTAGATTCTATGATGTTCCAACTATCAATTGAATTACATGGTAATATTGAGGAGGCATTATCCCAGTCAATGCAATGCTTGTTATCCCTTCAAATGAACAAACAGAGCATTGGATTCCTGGCCTGTCCTAACACTGTATTTGTGTTGTTTAATTCTAGTTGCAAGATCTTTACCTGTCTGGCCTAAGTAAAACATATTACATTCCTTGCAAGGAACTTTATAAATGCAACCAATTGTGTTGTTGGGGGAGTTCTTGATTAACATTTGTTTAACAGTGCATGAGTTTTTAAATGCCACATTGACGTTCCAGGTTTTTAGTTGTGAAGGAATGTGTGAGAAATTTTTGTGAAATGCTAATATTAAGATATTCTTATGGTCATGGGTGGGCTTGGGATCAGTTCTATAAAAAGTTTTCTTAGTAATGTTTAGGCATTTGTCTATGAAAGATCTAGGGTATTTAAGGTTTGAGCCAATATTATATATATATTTGTATTCCTCATCGATGAATTCCGGACTGCAAATTCTCAAGGCACGTAAAAACATTGTTGAAAATACTGACTGTTTGACTTTATTATGGTGGGCAGAATAATAATGAATGTATGAACACACATTAGTTGGTTTTCTATAAATACTGAACTTAAAAGTGTTACCTATTCTGTGTATCAGACAGTCTAGGAATGGCAATTTACAGTCTTGCTCTAATTCCACAGTGAATTTGATCGAGGGGGCTAAGTTGTTAAGTTGTGGCAGGAAAGCTTTTAGGTCCTCATTACATGGCCAGAGACATAATACATCATCAACATATCTAAACCAGACTGCTGAGGGTGGTAAAATATTACTTAATAGTTTCTTTTCAAAGAATTCCATATATAGGTTGCTTAATACAGGTGAGAGTGGATTACCCATTGCCATACCAAATTTTTGAGCATAATATTCCCATTGAATTCGAATTTGCAATCCTTAATACATAGTTTGATGAGTTCGATGAAGTCGTCTTTCGAGACGGGCAGTGAAATGTTATCCAGGGAATCTATGAGGAACTCTAGTAAATCATCAACTGGGACCTTTGTAAAGAGTGACGTTACATCAAAGCTGACCAGTTTAAAATCATGATTAATGTGTAAGTTATTGAGTTTATCAACCAGATCCATATTATTCTTGATATTGGAGTTAGAAATGTTGCCAACTAGGGGATTTAGTAAAGAAACTAAACATTTAGATAGTTTATAAGAGATTGACCCAACTGAGCTAATGATGGGTCTTGCTGGGTTATTGGGCTTGTGGGTCTTGATTACACCGTACATGTATGGCAGTGGAGGGGACGTTGAAGTAAGATGTTTAATGAGAGTAGCTTTGCCTCTCAATAGGGACTTCAGTTTTTTGTTGAACTGTGTGTTGACAGTGTTGAGAGGGTTATTTATGAGTTTAGAATATGTTGTAGTATCACATAAAAGGTCATTCATTTTAGAGATATAGTCATCTTTGTTTAAAATCACTACTGTGTTGGCTTTATCTGCTTTAGTGACATGTAGATCCTTATTTTTCTTAAGGGCTTGGATTGCTTTGGTGAATCTTTCTGGACAGTTTGGAACACAAGGGTTGGACATAGATGCATACACAACACCTTTACACATGTTCACTTCTTCACTTGTCAAATTACTGAATTTCTCCAAATTGCAAAATGCTCTGGCTATGTCAACACTGTCGACTCCCTTGTTAGAACCATCAAAACTTAAACCATAGCCGAGGGCACACAAGGTATCATTGTCTATTTGTTTAGAGGAGAGATTCACTACACAGTTGTTATTGGCATCCTTAGTCCAATCACTATTTCTAATAAGGAGTGCCAATTTGTGGTCTATCTTGGCTTGAAGATCAGAACGCTCACGTCTCAGGTTATCAAAACAGTAGTCCAACATGAACTTTTTCCAATAACTCGGTATGGTCATATTAAAAGCACGCTTTTTTTTGTCTTACAATACGGAAGGCTTCATCCACTTCAATGGAATTCTTTGAAAAGAAACTATTAAGTAATATTTTACCACCCTCAGCAGTCTGGTTTAGATATGTTGATGATGTATTATGTCTCTGGCCATGTAATGAGGACCTAAAAGCTTTCCTGCCACAACTTAACAACTTAGCCCCCTCGATCAAATTCACTGTGGAATTAGAGCAAGACTGTAAATTGCCATTCCTAGACTGTCTGATACACAGAATAGGTAACACTTTTAAGTTCAGTATTTATAGAAAACCAACTAATGTGTGTTCATACATTCATTATTATTCTGCCCACCATAATAAAGTCAAACAGTCAGTATTTTCAACAATGTTTTTACGTGCCTTGAGAATTTGCAGTCCGGAATTCATCGATGAGGAATACAAATATATATATAATATTGGCTCAAACCTTTTAAATACCCTAGATTTTTTCTATAGACAAATGCTTAAACATTACTAAGAAAACTTTTTTATAGAACTGACCCTAAGCCCATCTTGCATGACCATATAAGAATATCTTAATATTACCATTTCACAAAAATTTTCTACATATCTTGCCAGTCAGCTAAAAACCTGGGAAACGTCAATGTGGCATTTAAAAACTCATGCACTGTTAAACAAATGTTAATCAAGAACTTCCCCCAACAACAATAATTGGTTGCATTTATAAAGTTCCTTGCAAGGAAATGTAATATGTTTTACTTAGCCAGACAGGTAAAGATCTTGCAACTAGAATTAAACAACACAAATACAGTGTTAGACAGGGTTAGAATCCAATGCTCTTGTTTGTCTGATATTTGAGGGATAACAAGCATTGCATTGACTGGGATATGCCTCAATATTAATACCATGTAAGTCAAATTGACAGTGTGGAACATCAGAATCTATTCATTAAACATACTGAAGCATTCCAAATATGAATTTGAGTAACGGCATGTACAAGCTGACAATTTGTAATTAAGAAGATTTGTAGGATCAGTGAGAAGGCCGGGTCACTTGACCATCTGGACCTGACACCACCAACTGTTGTGTGCTATTTTAAAGATTAGTAGGTCATTACCTACCTGACCATTGTGGACCTGGTCTCACCTCCTCTGTATATATACACCTTTGATTTGTATTATTTTTTCTAGTCTGTACTCACCCCTGAAGATAGCCTATAGTGATTTACTTGCATATATATATATATATGCAAGTCCTGAAGATGTGGGAATTACAGCGCTTAGAAATTTATCAGCATATACTAGAATCATACTGTGATTTACTTGATATATATATATATGTAAATCACAAAGAAAAGAAAAAAACACAGTTCACCCTGAAGATGTTGCACAAATCAGTATGAAAGCACACAGTATTTGTCTTACGGAGTACCCAGGTTAGGTTAGGTTAGCATAAACTGGGTTATCGATGAGATGATATTCTCTGCACTTCTGATTATATTTTATTATACCCAAATTACAACAATAATATACTATGATAAGCGTTTGGTCAAGTGCAGTCCGATATAATCGAGTCATTTCATTTAATTAATTTTAAATATTTAATCGAGAGTGTTATTTTACAGGGTCACTA